CTCTTATCTTTCTGTCGACTCCCGTGCCCTGACCCCTCTCTCCTCCACATCCTGAGTAGACACGCCCCTTACTGCTGATTGGCTACAAGTTTGTTTTGCTATTCCCGAATCGGTTTTCTAAAGTGTTTTTGAAAAATCGCTTACCCCACCTTTAATTCACGAGTCTTTTATGCCACATCAGTTTACAACTAAACATCTATTAATTTTTTTAATTACATAAATCATTTTATTTAGCTGGGATGTATTAAATTGGTCAAAAGTGGCAGTAAAAACGGACAAAGTCTATTTTGAATAAATGCTGTTCTTTTGAACTTTCTGGCCATCAAAGAATCCTGGAATAAATGTAACAATGCTTCCACAAACACACAATAGCCATACTAATAATAATCAGAAATGTTTCTTGAGCAGCAGATCAGCATATTAGAATAATTTCTGAAGGATCATGTGACACTGAAGACTGGAGTAATGATACTGAAAATGCAGCTTTTCCATCACAGGAATAAATTACATTTTTAAATATATTCAAATAGAAACATAATTTTAAATTGTAATAATAGTTCACAATATTGCCGTTTCATCAATTAAGCTCAGTCTTGGTGAGGTGAACATAAGACACTGCTTTCAAAAACAAAAAAATCTTACAGACCCCACACTGTAATGGCAGTCTATAATTGTTTTAATCACCATTTATATAATTTTAATATAGTTAATTTATACTAATTAATTTTATAATATTCAATTAATTGCTTAATAATTCATTTACATTTTTATTATTTTTAAATAGTAATTTTTTGTTACATGTAGTCTCTTAATATGAAGTCTTAAAACTGCCTGTAACTGTAATATTTAGACAAGAATTGGGAAAAAGTTTAAATAATTGTTTGTATAGCATGCTACACTATAGAACATTGCTGTCAATATTTGACATGTCAGGTCAGCTTCTGGTAATGTGCAGTAATCTGTTTTGTCATTCATTCAGTTTTTTTTTCTCTCTCTCTATTGATTTACTATATTGACTTAAGCCAGCTGTATAGTTTTTGCCCACTTATTAGTCAAAGGTTGATTAAGTAATGGCTTATGACGCTCTTTCGATCTTCAGGGGCGCATGTTCCGCTGCAGCGCAGAGTGTTGTGAGAATCCCGGCCACTCCATGAACCAGGTGCACCAGTGTATCGACCGCTGCCACGCACCGCTGGCTAAAGCTCAAGGACTGGTCACCAGTGAACTCCAGCAGTTTCAGGTCAGTCGACTTCTGTCAGCCATCGTTCACTTTTAGTCTTATAGCTGGAATGTCATATAGACTAACCATTTATTCATCGACGACAGGATCGTCTCACGAGGTGTACAGTGCACTGTAACGACAAGGCCAAGGATCTGTTTGACTCCGGGGCGAAGGAGCCTGCCGTGCGGGCGCTCATGGACAGCTGTGTGAGCAGCTGTGTGGACGAACACCTGAGCCTGCTGCCCAGCATGACTCGCAGACTGAAGGACAGCCTGAACTCAATAGCTCAATGAAGCTCTGACTGTGGCCGAGGCTGTAGGAAATGATTCTTGTGGACTCATGAGTCTACTGGATGGAAGATTGTGATCTTTGCCGTCACCTGATTGTGGCTTGGTGAATGGCATGTGCTGATTTCTGTGTCCATATTGTTTGTGGTTTTTGTACAGACAATAAATAATGTGATCAAACCAACTTGCTGCCTGTTGAATGACAGAGGGAGGGAAACATTATGTAATCTAGCAAAACTATTAGGGTCAATCTCTTGACAACTGTCATGAAATGTCCAGGACATATTTCACCACTAAATAAATAAAAAAGAATATATTACTTTAAAAGAATATATACCTGGCTTAATATATACCTAAAATAAATTTATATACAGGTGCATTTTAAAAAATTAGAATATCGTGAAAAAGTTTTTTTTTGTAACTTATTTCAAAAAGTGAAACTTTCATATATTCTAGATTCATTACATGTAAAGTAAAACATTTCAAAAGTTTTTTTTTGTTGTTTTAAAGATCAGAGTGCACTTTAAGCCCATATTCATTATATAACTGTAACTTGAATATGTTTTGGTCAGCAGCTAAAATAATAAAAAATTGTGCCTGCGTACATATAATATACATATTATATGTGTATTTGTGTATATAGAAAATCATCCTGTTCAAACAGGTTTTATTACTGATGTTTTTCACACTGCAGTTTCAAAAAGTGAACGCAATTTCTTCTGTCAGTGCTGTTTTAATGAACACATTTATTTCATATGACGGTTTGGTCCAACAATATTTACATTTAACCAAAACCACATTGTGTATAAATAGTGAAAATTGTACTGCTTCATTGGACACCTGTGGAAGTCACTTAAAATGCCCTGTTGGTAAACCAACACATGCCTGTTAACCCTTCACTGCTCGTACATCGGCATGCATTGACAAATAATGACAACATATCACATTAGCACCAATTTCAAACAAATACAACAGTACAAAACCGATGTTCAGTCTTTTTTTGTAAAACAAAAAATAGGAATGACTGACAAATTAATAACCAGCCTAACAAGTTTACATATAATACAACTTCCAAAAAACAAAAAAAGAGTCAAATGAAGTTCACGACCAAGAGCACTTACTCTTAGCGCTGATGCTGATATATAGCAAATTATTTAAAAAGCACCTGACTATTTACAAATTAAGCATACAAATAAAATGACTGCAATAATATACATGAAGCTAACAAACTGTAAATCATAAGAAGGCTGGACTGGTGGCTGAAAGTGAAACTTTCATATATTCTAGATTCATTACATGTAAAGTAAAACATTTCAAAAGTTTTTTTTTTGTTGTTTTAAAGATCAGAGTGCACTTTAAGCCCATATTCATTATATAACTGTAACTTGAATATGTTTTGGTCAGCAGCTAAAATAATAAAAAATTGTGCCTGCGTACATATAATATACATATTATATGTGTATTTGTGTATATAGAAAATCATCCTGTTCAAACAGGTTTTATTACTGATGTTTTTCACACTGCAGTTTCAAAAAGTGAACGCAATTTCTTCTGTCAGTGCTGTTTTAATGAACACATTTATTTCATATGACGGTTTGGTCCAACAATATTTACATTTAACCAAAACCACATTGTGTATAAATATTGAAAATTGTACTGCTTCATTGGACACCTGTGGAAATCACTTGTCCTGTAGATAAACCAACACATGCCTGTTAACCCTTCACTGCTCGTACATCGGCATGCATTGACAAATAATGACAACATATCACATTAGCACCAATTTCAAACAAATACAACAGTACAAAACCGATGTTCAGTCTTTTTTTGTAAAACAAAAAATAGGAATGACTGACAAATTAATAACCAGCCTAACAAGTTTACATATAATACAACTTCCAAAAAACAAAAAAAAGAGTCAAATGAAGTTCACGACCAAGAGCACTTACTCTTAACGCTGATGCTGATATATAGCAAATTATTTAAAAAGCACCTGACTATTTACAAATTAAGCATACAAATAAAATGACTGCAATAATATACATGAAGCTAACAAACTGTAAATCATAAGAAGGCTGGACTGGTGGCTGATGGAGGTTTTGTGGTGTGTGGCGTCACGACACACTGCGGGCGCTGTTCTCCGGCTCCGGGGTGTCACCTCTCCTCTCACTGGACGGGGAAGTGTAGAGGAAGTTACAGCACACACACAGAGGAAAAGACAAGAGCCGGCTGTCCAGATTCATCACCACGTATTCCTGCGATCGTAACACAATGAAGTAGTTCAGTCAAGTCAAGCCTTGAAGTAACTGGAAATAAAATGATTTAATATTTAACATTAAGACAGAATACCTGGTCCTTTTCGAGGGTAACAAGCTGGTAGCCAGTTGACCGGCTGCAAACCACTTTTCCACTGTTATCAAATGAAGCAAGGCGCAATCTGAAAAAAAATAAATAAATAAATAAAAAAATTTAAATACCAAATTAAAAATAATCACTTAAAAATATATACGTAATATATTTATAAATATTATTTAATATACATTTTATTCAAGGCAAGAGACACTACAGTCAAAACTATTGTTTTTTCATGCATTGGTCAAATTTGAGATTTTAGGCTATTTTTTGCTTTCATAACATGTCTTCTTTCAGGCTAGCAGAGAGAAAACATACAAAATACACATTTGTTTATTTTATTACATTTTATCCATTTGCAGCTGAAGGTTTTACTTACAATACATATCTTTAAAGACCAATTTCGCCATTTTTTTCCTCCTCCACTAAGCCAGAAATATCCACTTCAGTAACACTTACACTCAACAAACTTTACGGTTTTATTCCTGTCTATATTCATATATCATTTGTCTGAATATATAACATTTTTTCCTAAAAATATGGTGGCAAATCATCTTTTACTGGCAGTTGACAGGACTTTCTGATTTATGAAGTGATTAAAACATATCAAAGTCACAGCTGTAAAAATCCTTCAACTCTAATATGTAAAGAAAGACCTTTTTTACCTGGCTTTATCCTATGTTCAGATTTCTGTTCTTGAAATTTATGCAGTTTAGTGCATTTTAATTATACAATGCTTCTTTTGCATATTTAAACATAACAGTTCAACTATAATACAAAATGTAATTTCTTAATATACTGTGATAAACTAGGAAAGTATGGTGTTATCTGTTAATTAAATACTTTAATTATAAAGTAATAAAAAATAAATAAATTAATAAATGTATTATTAAAATCATATAAAATATTATTTTACAAATTAATAATATATCTTGTACTTGTATTACTAAGAAACATATATGTCCAATACATGTACAAAAACAAATTATTATTATGATTTATATTTTATACAGACTGTACGTTATATTACAATTATATTATTCATTCCTTAAAGCGTCTTTGGTGTTTCCATGTTTTCTACAAAACAAAACCGGAAATCGAGGGGTTATGACGTCATTGGCAGGCGACACAATGACACTATATGGACACGGTCCGTGTCACTTGTTAAAATTGCTTATTTCTCTGGATTTAAACATTCTTCTAAACATTTGGGATAATGTAAGTACACAAGTCAGCAAAATATATAACACTGTTCTAGTGGTTTTTAGATATTTTAATAAAAAAATCGTACATATTGTGCCTTTAATTACTCACCCTCATGTCGCTCCAAACCCATAATGCTGGGTACACACCACAAGATAATCGGGCTGATTTTGGGCCGATTTCTCCCCTTCCGACAATCCTATGTAATGTCCCGATTATCTTGGTGGTTCTAAAGATTATCTCATCAGATTTTCCTGTGGTGTAAGGTGTGTTAAGAGTGACTGAATCTGCTCGGAAGAACATCGGAGGCGCCCCGATCGCAAATCGTAAATATTCAACATGTTGGAGGACACCACACACTATAGGTGCAAAACAATTAGTCTCCTCCGTGTCACCCTATAACACCGTTTTGTAGAGTATCACATACATAAACAACATATGCAACTTATGTACGCGGATACATGGTTTACGTTCAGATCAAAGTGTAAACAACGTAAACAGCGTGTCCACGTACATGCGTTGTTTACGTATGTGATACTCTCCAAAATGGCGCTATAGGGTGATGCGGAGGAGAC